AATTTTTATATCATGTTTAAAGAGAAATTGAGCTTTCTTTTGGTAGTTTTAATAAGCACTGGACAGTTTTTACTATATAAAGGAAAAAGACAAAAAAAATTTTGAAACACTTTCCCTTTCTTCATGCTAGAATTAAAAAATACCAGGACAGTGTGAACACCCCTAAAAATAACCCCTTTAGAAAAGTAGACCCTTTTTTGCCACAATTTTGAATAAACATGCTATTTAAAACATGGATTTTGGTAATGGTGTACTGGATATAGCACATACAGCTCATAAACAGAGGGAGGAGGGGATGAAGGGGTTAATTTAAAGGTCACAGACAGTGGGAGGCAGGGGCGGACTGACCATATGAGAACGAGGGCACTGCCCGAGGGCCCGGGGTCAGTAGGGGGCCCCATGAGATGCCCCTGGTACCTTTCATAGGCTTTTTTGGGTGTGGTTTGAGTGTGGGCGAGAACACAGGGGCCCCATGATCCCCTATTGCCCGGGGGGCCCCATGAGTTATCAGTCTGCCCCTGGTGGGAGAATGAAGATGAAAGGGTTAATGTGCAGGATAAGGGAGGTGGTGGGTATTATGTGGGTCACCTAGAAAGGCAAGCTGGAAATCAGATGTATGGGGAGTAGTGAAAAGGTTAATAATCTGCTGCTGATGATGATGATCCCTACTCTGTTTGGAAACTAATGAATGGCTCAGTATTTTATTAGATTCACTTTCTCCTCTTACTGTGTTGTAAGAGGAAGGGATAGACTCACAGATGTAAACAAACACTGTTTGCATCTTCACATCACTGTGAATGGTTTCTCTCTATGACCAATCACCGCAATCCTAAGGTACAGTGCCACTCTGATCAGCTCTGTATACAGTGTTTATGAATGGAGATGTCTGAAGATGGCTTGGTTCACTGACATTAACAGATACACTAGCTGCCCAAGAGCTAATTTGGAGGGACGTTATAAACAGCATTCCAGAAATAGACATCCACCATTTTATTTTAACACTACCCTGCATGACTGTGTATTGTCATGATTGCCTGTTGGTTGTTAATGTATTGTCATGATTGACCATTTTTTTGCTGGAGTATTATCATTTATTCTAACAATTGCAGCATAAAGTGACTTATAGAAGAAATAAATGTGGTTGGTCCTGGCATTGGGACCCGGGAACTCACCGGCAGATGCACTGCATTGCCAAGGTCTGATGAGTACGATTCAGGGGGAAAGATGATATTTGTACTGGAAGTGCTTTTGTCATGAAAGGTGACAAGGGGTTGTAATGGGAAGAGGGTAAATTTTGGTTGGGAGGCACTCTGTGCTTTGCTCTACACTATGTGCATTACTTACTCCTGACCCCTGCATTCTGTGCATTATTTACTCATAACCCCTGCACTCTATGCGTTACTTACTCCTGACCCCTGCATTCTGTGCATTATTTACTCATAACCCCTGCACTCTATGCGTTACTTACTCCTGACCCCTGCATTCTGTGCATTATTTACTCATAACCCCTGCACTCTATGCGTTACTTACTCCTGACCCCTGCATTATCTGCATTATTTACTCATAACCCCTGCACTCTATGTGTTACTTACTCCTGACACCTGAACTCTGAGCAGAATGCACTCCTGACTCCCCCCCCCTCCCCTCTTTGTGTTGCATACTCCTGACCTCTACACTCTGTGTGTTATGCAGTCCTTACCCCTGCATTCTGTGCATTATTTACTCATAACCCCTGCACTCTATGTGTTACTTTCTCCTGACACCTGAACTCTGAGCAGAATGCACTCCTGACTCCCCCCCTCCCCTCTTTGTGTTGCATACTCCTGACCTCTACACTCTGTGTGTTATGCAGTCCTTACCCCTGCATTCTGTGCATTATTTACTCATAACCCCTGCACTCTATGTGTTACTTTCTCCTGACACCTGAACTCTGAGCAGAATGCACTCCTGACTCTCCCCCCCTCCCCTCTTTGTGTTGCATACTCCTGACCTCTACACTCTGTGTGTTATGCAGTCCTTAACCCTGCATTCTGTGCATTATTTAATCATAACCCCTGCACTCTATGTGTTACTTACTCCTGACCCCTGCATTTTCTGCATTATTTACTTAACCCCTGCATGTGTTACTTACTCCTTTGCATTTTCTGCATTATTTACTCATAACCCCTGCACTCTATGTGTTACTTACTCCTGACCCCTGCATTCTGTGCATTATTTACTCATAACCCCTGCACTCTATGTGTTACTTACTCCTGACCCCTGCATTCTGTGCATTATTTACTCATAACCCCTGCACTCTATGTGTTACTTACTCCTGACACCTGAACTCTGAGCAGAATGCACTCCTGACTCCCCCCCCCTCCCCTCTTTGTGTTGCATACTCCTGACCTCTACACTCTGTGTGTTATGCAGTCCTTACCCCTGCATTCTGTGCATTACACACTCTTTACCCAGAGCAGTGTAGGCTCCATTTTTATTTAACCTTACCTCAATAAGCTCCTCCCACTGTCAGCACAAATTGAGCACACCCATTATTCATCACTGTTAGCCTACCCCTGCCCTTCCCCTGTTCCACCCAATGTAAAGTGGCTGTGGTCAGTCGGGTGTCCCTAAATGTTCATTTTAAAAATCTGGTCGTCTTACCCTATAACAAGAAGTGCCTGAACAAGGTCCTTCATGGCAGAATCATGTGGTATTATTTTAATGAAAGCTCTAGAATTAAAAAAAAAAATAGGTTGAAAACTTTTGAATTTACACGCACATGAACTTTAATGGCCCCCCAGTCTTAGTCTGTAGGGTTCAATATTGAGTTGGCCCCACCCTTTGCAGCTATAACAGCTTCAACTCTTCTGGGAAGGCCATCCACAAGGTTTAGGAGGATGTCGATGGGAAGGTTTGACCATTCTTCCAGAAGCACATTTGTAAGGTCAGGCACTGATGTCAGGGGAGGAGGCCTGGGTCACAGTGTCTCCGCTCTAATTCATCCCAAAAGTGATCTGTCGGGTTGAGGTCAAGTTCCTCCATCCCAAACTCACTCATCCATGTCTTTATGGACCTTGGTTTGTGCACTGGTGCGCAGTCATGTTGGAACAGGAAGGGGCCATCACCAAACTGTTCCCACAAAGTTGGGAGCATGAAATTGTCCAAAATGTCTTGGTATGCTGACGCCTTAAGAGTTCCCTTCACTGGAACTAGGGGGCCAAGCCCAACCCCTGAAAAACAACCCCACGCCATAATCCCCCTCCACCAAACTTTACACTTGGCACAATGCAGTCAGGCAAGCATCGTTCTCCTGGCAACCCCCAAACCCAGACACGTCCATCGGATTGCCAGACAGATTTTACTAGCGTTTCAAACACCAAATGCTTGTAAACGCGGTTAACCACATTTATAAGCGTTTGCGTTTAAAAACGTTTTCTAACTGTTCCATATCCAGATGTTGTCCAGAGCCTTTTTTCGTCACCAGAAATGCATGCAAAGCATTTTCCATGTATTCAAATGGACCCGCTACACCACCGCAGTCAGTTCCAGGTTTCGTGTGAAGGAAACAATGGTAGAACGTGCCACATTATGCTCATAAAGGGATCCATAGTGAATACAACCAGAAAATCTCAACACATACTGCTCCCTCTGCTTTTGCTCTCTCTATTTCTTTGAAAATATTTGAAATAGTTAATTATTTTCTATTTTTCAGTGCATTCTGGGCATTTGGGAAGGTCTCCTGAGGTTATCTTTTGAAAACGCTTCTAAACGCAAACGCGCATAACCGCAGTATGCAAACGCAGCTAAACTGATGATTTTTAACCTACATTTTCCATCTGTCAGTTTCCATCATTCAGAAGAGCTTTCCAAACGCCCCATGTACATGAACCCTTAATGTGCATTTTTGGCCAAAACATAGCTGCTTCTGGACGCACTTGCAGTGGTTTTTTTCTGCCCCTAAACGCCCCTGTCTCTAAACTCCTCTAAATGACAATCAGTGCATGGACACCTAAGCTAACATGGAGGGGCGTTTGGAGGCCAAAAGAAAAAAACACCATACACCCATAAGAACAATGTCAAAAAACATGTAACGTGCATGAGGCCTTAGGATTTGTATAACGCTCCATCATGTAGGGGTTAGGTTAACATTCAAGCTCAGGTCCCATCTAAAGTGTTAAATAAATATGATAGTCTATGAATATCTCTGATGTATAAATATAGTACTGTAAATACACAGACAAAAATTCTCTCGATGTTTCTAGTATCCTGGTGATGGAGTGTTAAAACAATCAATTGCCAGGAAACAATTTGCTTGTTCAGTATTCTGCATCTGTCAAAGTTCCCAATGGAGACATAACACATTGGACACATCAGATACTTGGAATCTATATCATGTTTACCAGGGAAGTGAGACTAGCACACTCAGCCATATGCTGATAACAGAGATTTATAGAGACTGAAACTGATGACAACTAGGAAAGAAAAAAACTTTAAGGTGTATCTAAACCTAATGTAACACTACCCCCTTAGGAGTTGCTGAAGATTTGGGTCCCCCTATAGTCCTGCACAGCCAGGAAACACCCATTTTCCACAGACTTGCATTCCAGAGACAGTAAACAGTCCTTGAACTTGTTTTTTTTTTTTTTTTTTTTTATTAGGGGTAATAAACTTGGATGGGGTTGAGGGATGCATGGGATGCCCAAGGAACTGCAAACTGAGGACAACTTCTTAGAACTATATACAATTCTTTACAGCAAAAATTATCTTCTGAAGAGCTAACCAGCATCTCCTGTTGTACCACCCCAGACCCTAGATATTCCTCTCTCCAGCTGTTCTGGGTGAATCCTTGAGCAAAGGATCCAGTGCCTGTCACTTTAACCTCCTTAGCGGTATTCCCGAGTGTAGCTCGGGGTAAAATTTCTATACCAAAAGCGGTAATCCCGAGCTACACTCTGGCTTACCATGCGGCGTTGCTCTGGGGGTCCCTGCAGCACTTACCTCGTCCTTCGCTCCCGCGATGTGTCCCCTGCAGCGTCCACGGCCATCTCCTCCGGCCGATGCCGGCATCCGGCTTCCGTGCTTCCGTGTTCGGGACTACGGGTCCCTGTGACGTCGGGATTGCCATGTGTATGTCATTTTTTGCTATTTCAATGCATTTCACATACATTTTGTCCCTACTGCTTTGTCCTGTCCCCTGCCTGCATTTTGACTGTTCTTTCTGCCTGGAAACTTAGAAAAGTCCATGGCGTCCAAAAAGCGTCCCTTTACGTCAAAAGCGGTTTTTAGAACAGAGATAGTAAATCAGAACCACTTGCAGAATTGAGTGATAATGATTCGTGGTGAAATTCGTCATCAGACACTGAAAACGATTTTGCGACTTTGCTCAGCGATGTGCAAATTTGCCTCTGTATTTCAAATTTCAGTGTTTTTGGTTTGATTATATTATTGAATTAAATTTATTATTATTATATTATTATTTTTTATGATTATTTATTAAATTATAATTTATGATTTCGTGTTTCAAATTTTATCATACCCGGGATGTTTACTAGACTCTTGTTCGGACAGATTTCAGTGAGTTATTCCTAAAAATTACAGCCTACAATAAAAAACTACATATTTCCATGCAAAAAAATGGTACCGCTTTCAGCACAAAAAATCGGAAAGAATCATACCGCCGAGGAGGTTAAGAGAAGACAGTCCCGTGTAGTAGCTAATCCAGTTTCTCACCAGAGTGCTCCTTCACCTTACTAGCCCAGGTAGTATAGGTCCACTCAGTCAGTCCCCCTCCTATGAGCTGCTGGGTCTGTGGCTGGTCTCAGGCCTTTTGCTGGGCCACTCCTTTCCTGCAGCATAGGTGGTCCTTGCTTTGGGGGATCCGGTGAAGTCCTGAGCTTTCCTCCTTCCATGCTTCTCTGCCTAGAGGAGAGCCCCTTCCCATCTGGGCTCCCTCCCAGGCTCCTGCTCTCCAGCCTCTTACATCTCCATCTTCCGCCCAAACTCTCCTGCTGCTGAGCAGGATCTATCACTCTTAAGGGCTGTCCTGACCCCATGCCAAGCCTCCTGTTAACCCTACTGCACTATGAGAAGCCCCTTTTTTTATTGTATATCTGAATATTATACCCTGTGGGTTCTGGTGATGTGGAGTTTCCAGCGAGCAGGAGGCACAGAGGAATTGGAGTTATGCCTAGCTTGACCTATGTGATGTGGGTCAACTTGTGGAGGTGAGCGTGCATGTCTGGTGGTGGTGGATTTTGCAGTACACCAAAGGGGAAGATTCACTGAATTGCATATTGTACCGTCATTAAGGACTGTCACTTTTATGAACTTTATTGTTACCATTTCACTTTTTAGTCACTTTGTTTATTTTTATTACTATTTATTCATTTATGATTTAATATCACATTTGTCACGTGTTTAGTGACTCATTTGTAGTGGTTTTTTACACCCCCTGGCAGGGGGTCACCCGGGTGTTTATTTTATTTTTCTTATATCACTTTTATTTTTTATTTTTTGTCTCACTTTACACTTTAGCAGGTCTTAACTTTTATTAGGATAGGGCAAAGATTACCTATTGATGCCCTCTTGGGTATTCATCGTACGGTTTGATTGAAGCTTTGTCGGATGTTTACTTATTTACTTCTACTGATTTATGTATTTAATATTCTTCTTACACATTGAGTTAGGGGTTAGTTATAGCGCAGCACTATCTATTTACTTTATTTACATAGGTGTAGTAGTGGAACACTTTTTGTTGCTTGCTGCTTTTTAGTTTTGTTTTATTAGCTTTTTGGCAGCGCATAAGATTCTCCTTATTATTGTAAACAATATTTTTTACTTTCTGATATAAAATATAGCCAATAAAAAAAAAAGTCTTCATAAATTTAGGCCAAGTTGTATTGGCTACATGTCTTTTGTAAAAAAAAAATCCCAATAAGTATATAATATATGGTTTGCGCAAACGTTATTGCATCTTCAAACGATGGTATATACTGGTACTTTTTAATAATCTATTTTTTATACTAGTAATGGCAGTGATCAGCGACTTATAGTGGGACTGTAATAGTGCGGTGGGCAATCTGACACTAACTGACACTTTGTGGGAACTGACTGATATTACCAGTGACTGTAATCTAGTGATCAGTGTTAATAATGTATACTGTCACTGTACTAATGACACTGGCTGAGAAGGGGTTAACATTTTAGGGGCAATTAAAAGGTTAATTGTGTAGCTAACAATGTGTACTGTGTGCTAATTTGCAGGGAGAAAAAAAAGGGCATATTGCTGATGTCTGTACCCACATGGAAAAAAAATATATTTGAAATATATTTTAAAAATATTCTTCCCAAATATATTGACATATATTTGAAATACTACAATTTTGGCCGTATTCAATATATTTCAATATATATACATACATATATTACTGCATGTTGAAATGCGTTCTTTATATATTACAAAATATATGGAAAATATTTTTTAAAATATTTTTTTTTTTAATATATTCTTCAGATTCTTTAACAAATTTATATAAATATACATATATTTGTAAATGCATTCCAAAAATGTAGATTAAATGTATTTTTAAAGACATACAGAATATTTGAAAATGTATTTTTAAAAATACTTTTCATATATTTTATAAGAAAAACGCATTTCAACATACAGTATATATATATATATATATATATATATATAATATATATATGTATATATATATATATATATATATATATATAAATATATTGAATTTGGCCAAAATTGTAGTATTTCAAATATATGTCAATATATTTGTGAAGAATATTTTTAAAATATATTTAGAATATATTTTTCTTCCATGTGGGTAGAGAGCTTGGTGTTGTTTACCAACACAGGGCTCTCTTTTGTCATTTGTTCAGCCGAGCAGCACATCCCATCCATAAAACATTATTAAAGCTGATAGGCTTGTGTGTAGCGAATGACAGCGCAACCGAGGAGGCAGGCGTGTACCCGAAGATCTCAGATTACTTACATGTACATGATCTGGCGCAGGAGAGCCACTGGCCCGCAGTAAATCTGCATGGTCCAGTCAGCAAGTAGTTAACTACTTCATGTCCTGAGACTTTTACCCCCTTCCTGTCCAGGCCAATGTTCAGCTTTCAGCGCTATCACACTTTGAATGACAATTGCGCGGTCATGCAACACTGTACCCATATGAATTTTTTAGCATTTTTTTGAGAGAGATAAAACTTTATTTTGGTGGCATTTATTCACCGCTGGGATTTTTTTTTTTTTTTGCTATATAATTGAAAAGGTCCAAAAATTTTGAAAAAAAAGCTTTTGTGAATAGCCTTGTACCATGTGACCTCTGTGATCATTCACAGATTTCACACGTAGTAAGCAATGATGTCAGAAGTGACATCTTGTTTACTACTATTCATGTGATCACTGATTGGCCAATCACTGATCACATGATCTGTGCGAGGTCCCGTACAGCGATCGGTCCGGTGCCGCAGGCTCCCAGGGAGCGCGCACAGTCCAAAATGGCGGGCGTCATTTATGAACGGCAACCCGCCCCTGCACTGCCACCGTCCGACCGTTTATATACATGGGCCGGACGGGAAGTGCTTAACCTCCTTGGCGGTTTTCCCGAGTGTAGCTCGGGGTAGAATTTCTATACCAAGAACGGTAACCCCGAGCTACACTCGGGCTTACCATGCGGCGTTCTCCGGGAGTCCCTGCAGCACTTACCTTGTCCTTCGCTCCCACGATGGGTCCCCTGCAGCGTCCCCGTCCATCTCCTCCGGCGGATGCCGGCATCTGGCTCCCGTGTTCCGGTCCCTGTGACGTCAGAACGTTCGGGCGGCGGAACCGGCGAGAAATTTGAAATTTTTTAAAAAATGACATTTTTGCTGTCATTGCTTTTTCACTGCATTTCACATACATTTTGTCCCCACTGCTTTGTCCTGTGCCCTGCCTGCATTTTGACTGTTCTTTCTGCCTGGAAACTTAGAAAAGTCCATGGCGGCCAAAAAGCGTCCCCTTACGTCAAAAGCGGTTTTAGAACAGCGATAGTAAATCAGAACCACTTGCAGAATTGAGTGATAATGATTTGTGGGGAAATTCGTCATCAGACACTGAAAACGATTTTGCGACTTTGCTCAGCGATGTGCGAATTTGCCTCTGTATTTCAAATTTCAGTGTTTTTGGTTTGATTATATTATTGAATTAAATTTATTATTGTTATATTATTATTTTTTATGATTATTTATTAAATTATAATTTATGATTTCGTGTTTCAAGTTTTATCATATCCGGAATGTTTAAGTAAGTAATTACTAAGAATTGCAGGCCTACAATACATAACACCAAATTTCCATGCAAAAAAATGGTACCGCTTTTGGTACAAAATTCCTGACATAATCATACCGCCAGGGAGGTTAAGGAATGACAATGTTATTGCCAATTAAGCAGGACCCTATCAGAATTGTAAAAAATGCTCTGGTCTGTGGGGGTGTACAGGTATGAAAGTTAAAATGGGGATCGATGCTCTGGTGAAAACTGTCTGGGATGGGTATTGCCAACACTTTTGGGAAATTTCCCTTTATTTTCTGTTGTATCTCCAAGGCAGGGAGTGAAGGGAAAGCTAAATTTCAAAAAAGTTAGGTGTTACATACAATTGAAGGTTATTTTAGTAAATCCATAAATGAATTGAATGTTGTTTTTTTATATAAATCTACCTGGAGTTCAGCTTTAAAATGACCTGCGTTTTGCTTTCCTTAATTGCGTGAACACGGTTTTAATTTAGTTAAGCTTACATTTAAGACTTTAGACAAGCACACATGATCAGTTAATTGCTGGGTTTTGTTTTTATTAATCCTTGTTTTCCCAGTGTGATCCTGGCATGAATAATTCTCCGCTCCACTGGAAGCAACGAGCAAAGTGGGAGAAAAGTCAGAGATTATCTGAAGCTTCCTAGCAACGTTCCATGCTCTAATCCTGACCCCCCATCCGCAGTCACACAGGGATTATAGATCGGCCAGGGCCACCACAGACACAAGTGTTTAACCCTATGTAATGCATCTTTTTTTCTACAACTGTGCAGAGAAGTGACTTACAAGAAACTATTTTATCTTAAAGCAGAACTCCAGGCTGAAACCTCTTTACATGTCCTTGTTGCTTGTTTCCTATGTTCACTGAATGTGAACCTTCCTATCTATGTACTAATATTATCAGCTTAATGATTAAAAATAGTTAATGTTGATTGAGAGAGTGAAGTTCTGCTTTAAAATGTAACAAGGTTTCATGAAAGTGTATGTAAACCTGTGAACAAAATTGAATATATTGCATTTTACCAGTCCTTGGACATGATTGGTTACATTCAGGGGCGGACTGACAACTCATGGGGCCCCCGGGCAATAGGGGATCATGGGGCCCCTGTGTCTTTGCCCAAACTCAAAAAAGCCTATAAAAAAGGTACCAGGGGCATCTCATGGGGCCCCCTACTGAACCTGGGCCCTCGGGCAGTGCCCGAGTGTCCAAATGGTCAGTCCGCCCCTGGTTACATTCCTTTCTATTATTCAAGCTTTCTTTCATTTTTTTTGAGTGGTTCTGCCAGTATCACACTTCCTGTTCTAGGGTGGCAATGCTTTATCACAGGGAGGATGGCGGGATTAGGAGTAAGTAACACATATAGAGTACAGGTCAGGAGTAAGTGAAAATGCAGGGCTTAACCCCCTCGATCTTGGTATTCCCAAGTGTAGCTCGGGGTAAAGTTTCAGCACCACAAGCGGTAACCCCGAGCTACACTCAGTAATACCATGCAGCGTTGCTCCGGGATCTTTTCTGCACTTACCTTGTCCTGCGCTCCCGCGATGTCCCTCCTGCAGCGTCCTTGGCCATCTCCTCTGGCCGATGCCGGCATCTGTCTTCTGGGTTCCATTCCCTGCGACGTCGGGACGTACGGGGGACGGAACTGGCGGGAAATTTGAAAGTTGTAAAAGTGACATTCACTAAATTCACTAAAATCTGATAGTATAACATTCCTGTATCAAACCATTTCACATACATTTTGTCCCGAGTGCTTTGTCTGGCGCCCTGCCTGCATTTTTACTGTTCTTTCTGCCTGGAAACTGAGAAATGTCCATGGCATCCAAAAAGCGTCCCTTTAGGTCAAAGTCGGTTTTAGACCAGCTAGAGAACAGCGATAGTAAATCAGAACCACTTGCAGAATTGAGTGATAATGATTCGTGGTTAAATTCGTCATCAGACACTGAAAATGATTTTGAGACTTTGCTCAGTGATGTGCGAACTTGGGGCTATATTTCGAATTTCAGTGTTTTTGGTTTTATTATATTATTGAATTAAATGTATTAATATTGTATTATTATTTTTTATGATTATTTATTAAATTATAATTTATGATTTCGTGTTTCAAATTTTATCCTACCCGGGATGTTTACTAGACTCTTGTTCGGACAGATTTCAGTGAGTTATTCTTAAAAATTACAGGCCTACAATAAAAAACTACATATTTCCATGCAAAAAAATGTGCCGCTTTGAGCACAGAAATATGGACATAATCAGACCGCTAGGGAGGCTATGATTGTGTAATATACAGGGGTTAGAAGAAGGGAACACACAGAATGCAGAGGTCAGGAGTAAGTAATTTACAGAGTGCATGGTGTCAGGAGTAACTAACACCCTGGGAGCCGGGGTCAGGAGTAAGTAACACACAGAGTGCAGGAATCAACATAAGTAACACAGAGGGTGCAGGGTTTAAGTGTAATAAATGCACAGTTTGTGGGGGTTGTTAGTAAGCAACACAAGGTGCAGAGGGTAGTAATAAGTAACCCACATAGCGCAGGGGTCAGGAACCAGTAACCAACAGAGTATCCTATGCAATGCCTCTTACCTCTCAAGACAAAACTGGCTGTAGCACAAATTCCCCCCTCCCTTCATGAAATGTAATCACTGGACTTTGGTATTGCATGGCATCTGCTGGTGAGTGCCCCTGTTCCTAACATCAAAACCACCCCAATTTTCTTTCTTCAATTTGTCACATTTGCAGCTGCTAGCTTCTGTGACCACCCAAGGACATCCGGTTACAGAAAAAAGTATTATGGGGGAAATTTCTGGATTGAAGCTGATTATTACAACAAAAGATGATTTTATTATTTAGTCTTTTAATGGGGTACTCTTTCGATGCTTTTGGCATTTTTTCCACATATCTATCTCAATCTGTTTCTAGCCCCCCCCCCCTTGTTAGGAGGGTTTTCATCCATGATCCAGACCTCAAAAGATAACTTGGTGCTTCAGGTTTGGGGTATTACATGGGTGTAACATTGGTACTCCAGGCTGGAAACGGGACATGGTGCTAACATTGGTCCTCCAAATTGCAGTTGAGCATGAATCTAAGATTGGTTTTTCATTTTAGGGCTGAGAAAAGGGCTAACATTGGTCCACTAGGTTAGGGCTAATATTGGTCTTCCAGGTTGGTGGTTGAGCATGTGGATGAACATGAACACTGGTCCTCAAGGTTGAGTGTTGGGCATGGTTGGAACATTGAAGTCCAGGTTGAGGCTGAGCATGGGTCTAATATTGGTCCTCCAGGATGGGGCTGCACATAGGGCCAATGTTAGTCTTCAATGTTAAGGCTGAGAATTGGGCTAACATTACCCTTCCAGGTTTCAGCCCGGGTGTAGAGATAACATTGATCCTGCAGGTCGGGAGTTGATCATAGGGCTGACAATATTCCACTAGGTTAAGATCTTGGCATGGGGAAAATATTGGTCCACCAGGTCCATCATTACTCTGTACTGAACTGTAAACTAGACCTTGTTTCAGTGTGATCCTTGCCCCTGTCTTTCACAGCTTTGTTGTGCTGGCCTGTAGGATGGTAATTTCACCTGCTTATACACTTCTAGATTATTTGATGTAAGTCTACTTTGAGATGGACTTAACACTATCTTTAGGTGTAAACAAATCTGTTTGCACATATACTCTAATGGCAGCGATTATTGCAAAGCTTAATTTTTGTAAACGTAAGAACTTGTGTGGTAAAGCCACTACATTACAGACTGGATGTTTACCAAAATTTAACACTGTTATGTTTTAATGAGAACCATCAAATCATGTTGTAGACATCTGATTATGGATCTGCTGGGCGCCACTGAAAATGACTTTGCTTGCCCACAGCGGCACACGTGTTTTAGGTATCTAACCCCTGTACTAACATGTCATCTATGTTACATTGTTGTAGCTTCTCATTTCAATGTAAAAAGTAATCTATCTCTGCCACAAACAACCTCCAATTACAAGAGACATTCTTGACGTTAAGCCTCGTAAACTGGGGACCTCAAACATGGCTAATTTCATTCAATCTGAAAGTCATCCAATAAGGCGCATCATTTCTGAGGAGATCCGACAACTGCAAGAGCCAAGAGGAATGCTTGGTATTTTCAGCCTGGAGGAAAGTAACAGATGTTTGTCAATGTTAATTGAATATAATTTAGCAATGGTCTATGTAAGCATTGAACATCTTTTTCAATTTGTTTCTTTTCTTTTTTTTGCATACTGAAGAGTTGTATTAACTGATGTAAGCTCCGTCTTCCAATTCTTAAAACATGTAAACTGGAGCAGAAACAGTCAATTTATAATATGATTGGACCCTTCATATACACAACTGTTCCATCCTAGGAGTTCCCACTCCAACATGCATATTTTTTTTTTTTTTTGCAATTTTTTACAGTACATACCTTTTCCGGATATCTTCAGGACATGTAGCTCTTCTCTGCCTCTGGGCAGTAAATGGTGCTGATGTGATAAAAGGTTCATGATGCTCTACACATACAATATGTTCTTAATCTTCTGAAGAAAATGATGCTGGGTGTAATTAAGAAAACTGAGAATATCATGTGGCTAAAAGGAATTACTTTGGGGCAGAAATCCTACTTTTCTAGATGGGATAAGAAAAAAGTAATAAGGAAAGCCCTTGTTTTTTGCATTTTTTATGTTTTTTTGTTTTATCTCTTCTTGAAAATCTCCCCAAGTTAACAACTGGCTTCCTTTAAATGATGGGTTGAACACGGTTTTACTCAGGTCCGACATTTTCTTTCTTCACGAACGTTCCCCTCATGGTC